TTGATCTACTTCCGCAAGAACCCGGACGCCCGTTACCAGTACATGGCCGATGACCGCGCCTCTTTCATGAAGTCGCAGACTCAGCTGCACACCACTACCGAGCTGGATGCCCTGGCTGCCACGGCCCGAGGCGACAAGGCCCATTACAAGAAGGGGCTCGACCTCGACGACGACAACGACTCTATTTCATCCGAATCTATGCGCCGCCGCGTTGACCCGTCGGGTGCCCCTGTGCCCCAATCGACTACCCAGTCAGCGTCCCAGTCTCAACAATCCATGCAGCGACCTGGCGGTCCGAACGGCCAAGTCCAGTCTCCTGTGGACCCCTCGACCCCTCTGTTCCCGGTCGATAACCGCAACCCCTACGGACAGGCCCCGATGAGGACGCCGAGCCCGTACAACGGTAACCCCAACCAGCAGAGGCAACAAAATAACTCAAGCCCTGGACAGCTCAGGACGCAGAACAACGTCAGGTAAGAATCCCTGAAATGAGAACGGAAAAGGACAGTAACTAACTCTTCAACAGCCCTTGGCAGCGAGGTGCCGGTTATGAGTAGATATGACTTGCCATGATGATAATCCGTTTTTACGGAAGATGATACCGCACAGCCTAGAGATGGACTCGTCGCTACGCATCACGCATTTGTGGAGGCGGTTTTGCCGTTCCTGCCTTTCCAGGCACTCTCTAGTCCATGAGAGGTTTATACGCATGGAGTCGATGCGGCTTACTCCAGTAATGAATCGCCAGGCGTGAGCAGGAGAGGTGGGCCCTGTATTGAGTTATGACAAGCATCGCATCACACCATGGATGGCATGGTGACTTTTTTTCTTTTGCTTTTTTTTTGTGTGTGTCAGCATTCTGTTCCATTTATACACTCTTGTCTCTGGCACTGAGGATGGCGTCCCGAGATCACGGCGTTGATTGTTGTTTATACGGGGCTTGCCGGACACGCCAACCAAGAAGCTTGTTGCCCTGGATTGGGATTCACGCTTTGTAAATATGTTGCGATTGTTGAGAAAGGAATCTCATCATCAGAGCAGCGGCAGCAGCATGACATTGGGCTGGGGGTGGGAGGGGACGGAACGGAACAGAGGAGGTTTAAAAGGGCTCACTTGGTGTGGCATCTAGAGGCAGAGAAGATGTGCATCGTGCATGTATGCATCTCTCATGTCCCTTGACTGAGGAAAAATACTAAAACAGCCATGCAAAAATAGTTAATGAACTCTGTTATCAAAACCTGTCTTGTCCCAAGTCAAAACAGTTCAGACACGGCACAGAGCAGTCTTTGCCAGAGGGAATAATACCCCCTCGCAACTGGCATGCTATCTTGACGTAGCAAGACTCAAGGGAGAGAAAGAGTTCAACAACGGAGTAGACTCTGTCCGTTGCAGTGCAAGAAACAGGCTAGTTGAAGCAAAGGCTCACCCTCCCGCAAAACACGTCACCTGTGACTGGTCATGGGAAGTAGACAGCTACCGGCACAGGCACCAGTGTGTCCTGTGGCATTGTCCTCGGCCGTCACAATGGTTCACGGCAACTGCCGAGAGGGAGCAGGAGCAGCAGCAGCAACAGCAGCAGCAACAGCAGCAGCAGCAGCAGGTGAAAGAGTTTGATTCCTTTATTGGCAGCCACTCCCTACCAGAGAGTCACTCACGCTTGGCCGGGCCGAGGGGGGGGGGGGGGTAGGGCCTCTGTTGTTGAGCGAGAACCCATTAACGGTTCAGTTCGTAATGCCGAGGCTTGTTGTAACTTGACGTGAGGACACTGCCCTAACTTTGATTTGGTTATCACTATTCGCTTGGGGGGGAGGGAGGAGGAGGGAAAAAAAAAAAAAAGAGAGCCAAAGGAAAGAGGTCCCTTGTTCTCTTCGGCCGCTGGACCCCCCCATCGGGCGGCAGGAGACATGCTCACGAGACTGGGTGCCCATGGGATGGGCGAGTATTCAGGTACGCGCGGCTCGTATCCACGGAGAAAAGAGAGAGAGGGTGGGCTGTCATCCTGAACCTTAACCTTATCATCAGCTGATGCAACGCTCTACAACATGCCGGGAGGACAAGCTGGGCGGAGGTTCGGCTCGACCATCATTGGGCACTCTCCTTTCGCCCCCCGCTACGGGTCGAAACGGATGGGGAAACAATGCAAGGGGGGAGGAGCCTCACTTGGCTGAGGCGAGGTCGGAATCCAGCCGGCGAGGAAAGTCAAATGGGCGGCCGTTCCGGATTGTCCCTGTCCCGTCTCCTGACAGGGACGTGGTGGAGGATGGGGGGGGGGGGCGGTCGGACTGGATGGTACGCCCGTAACGGAGGGCCGGAGGTGTGGTATTCGGCCCGGAGTGAGGACATGTGGCATGGTCAAGGTGGTGTGGAATGGAGTAGTGGGGACGAAAAGAGGGCATGTGGGAGGAGAGGGAGAGAGAGGGTTGGTGGGACGCAGCAAGGCGGAGCAGGCCCCCGGAGGTGGCCGATCGGCAGGCAAGACATATTGCCGGGCTAACACGGATCCGGAGGCGGGCAGACGGCTGCCTCTTCTCTGTCAGTTTAACGGTCATTGATCAGTGATGGACAGGAGAGAGCGGCTGTCTGATGGTTATTCAGATGCGCAAGATGCTGAAGGAAAGGAAAGAGAGAAGAAAGACGGGGGGGGGGGGGGGGGGGGGGAGGGTGGAGAGAGGGTCGGGTCGGGAGGGGAATAGAGGTGGAAACCGGACGTTACGTGATGAAGCGCGGATGGATGGATGATCGAGACGGGATCCTCTCCTCCGCCGAGACTTCCCAACGACTCCGGGTCATCTTGGCCTCGCGGAGTCCAGGTTTGACCGTCGGATGATGCAGGACAGGTGAGACGATGCATCGTCGCTACATGCCGGCGCCGCGACGTTGAGAACGAAACACAGCGTCCTTAGCCGCGCAAGCACCTCTTGGCTTCCGAGAGGTGTGGGCAAGTGTACGGGACCATGACGGCGCTATCTCCAACACGGAAGCAACAGGCGAGAGAGGGTGGCCCTTCTTCATACGGAAGGGGGTGGACGAGAGACAGAGAGAGAGAGGGAGAGAGCACCTTTAGAAAGGCCAAGGATGGCAGAGAGGTTCCCCCATAGCCAGTTGGGGGACGCTCAGAAGCCTGCGCCCGTGAGCTTGTTTTCTAGAGATGGGCCGTAAATTGGTATGTTGAGAAAGTATCGCGCGGCCGGTGACGGGGAGAGATGCTATGACGAGCGGTCGACCTCCGTAGCCCCCCCTCCCCCCTCGCATACGGCGGGATCGTCTTGCAAGGCAAGACTTGTGGCGCGGTGGTTTTCCGTCGTCCGACCATGTGAATTTGTTCTGGGGGCTTCACGTGTGCAGGACTAGGGACGGCGATGCGGAAACCCTGAGAGCGGCTTATGCGGGGTCGCTTGCTTTGATCCTTCGGGGAGCCGATGCCGTCCCATTTCGAGCAACGATGACACCGAGTGTTTCCTGGCACAGTTTGTGGCGTGTCTCGGCAGTTGGAGAGATGATGACGGCTTTGCTCATCGGTGCTGCTTGGTGTTTCTGCCCCACGACGCCCTTACACCAGGGCAAGACGCGTTTGACCAACTCGCTTTACCGGCTGTCTGATATGAGTTGACTGGTTACAGGATCCGGCTTTGGATGAGTCCGAGACTGTGTCGCTTGACGGGCGCTGTGGGAGAACTAAACTAAACAGTTTGCGTGTTCTCCTTGGAGGGGTCGATGTCGGTTTCTTGTGTCATCCAGGTTGATCGGGCTACCTTGTCGGCACCCCCTCCTGGAGGCCGCTGGATAAACACGAGCACCGGTATCTCGGGCCTTCGTTACTTGGTTCCTCCGGAGGCCCCTCCGGACTGTTTCCTGGCTGCTCACTGGGCAACTCGGGTGCCGCGATATCATTCAATTATGGGCCATGAGGCAGTTGCTGCCGGGAAGGCGCGCGGACCAACGACTAGAACCGGGTGGTCGAAATCCCGTTTGACGTCTCGCCCGCGGCTTGAGATCCGTGGGAGTCACGGACATTTTTGATGGGATAACAACGGTCATCTCGAGGTCCGGTCAGGCCGTAGGACTTCTCGCGCAGTCATGTCGCGTTTGCCAGACTAAACCGTGGCTCGTCTGCATGGCGGACGCCTCACTCGGGCTGAAGGTAAATAAAGGGAATAGTGCACGGGGTAACCTATGAGTTACACTGTCCATTCTGCCTCCACGGTGCGAGCCGGCAGCTGTCATGACGGCGGGGGCTTAGGGTGGACACGGGGGTTCTTCCCAATAGAGAATGGCCGTCATGGGCCAAGATAGGTAGCCTGGACTAACACCTGCCATAGAGCTTGCCTGCCCTGAACATTGGCGACTTGGTAGGTGGTGGGGAGGTATGTAGAACAGCGGCTCGGAGAGAAGGGTCCCGGAGCAGAACAAAACGGGCTAACCGAGAAAGGACAGGAGGAGTCCGGTTCCGTCCGGATCGGGTCGCAATGAGGAGGTTCCCATTGATCCTCTCTTTGGGTCTTGGAGTTAAAAGTTGTGCTGAAGCTAGTCAGTCAGCCAGTCAACCACAGCTCTCTTCATATAAATGCCATTGGCCAAGGAACGAAGTATGGTAGCCACTTGACCATATCGAGCCCAGCGGCAAGACACCTTTACCCCTTCCGTGCAGAAGTTCTGCTTTGGCGGAGGGGAGTAAGGCGGCTGACCGGCAGGCAACCGCGATACCGTGGTGTTTGTTGGATGTTGATCATGTTTGACCAATGTGCACGGCCGAGTGATGTCAAAATTGACAGAATGAATGACGGTGATGATTACAGATCGGAAGGCTTGCCGGGGAGAACATAGACCGTCGAAGTGGGGATCGATGGCCATCCTGCATTATTCATCTTCCGTGGAGGGCTTGTGACGATACGGTGGGCGCATGTTGCCTCATGAGGATGCCGTATGTCATCTTATCTGCACACCTATGCATGCCTGGTCTGGCCAACGTAATTGAGACATCGTCAACAGAACGTGGCCCGTCAGGCTGAGCCAATGGCCTCGGCGTTGCGCAGCTCCTTGATGTCCTTCAACCTCTTGCCAGCCCTTGTCTTGCTCCCTTATTCAGTTTGCTGGGCAGGGGCGCAAGGCCCTCACAGAGTCGCGAGGTTGATTTCGAGGCTGCGCGGGTAAGAGCTCCGCGTCTCCCGAGAAAGGGTCTCGATCCCTCGGATGCCGCGACTGAGACAAGGCTCAGAGTAGTCAAGAGGCTGGACCTGTTGCGCGTCGTGGTAGTTTGACGTCGCTTGCTGCGGAACAGGGCTCATGTCTTGTCTGCTTCCGGCCGAGGGCTCGGTGCACTCACAGGGCAGCTGCAGCAGGGCAATCGCGCCGGTGATACCCACGTCGCGGTTATGCAAGGCCAGGCTCATGCAGGTCCGGTACTTGCCGCGAAAAACGCACAAACATGAGGGGCGGTGTATCACCCGTACCTGCATTCGGGTCAAGGAACGAGCGTTGGATGGGTCTTGGAGGGGGTGTTGGGGTGTTGGCGGAGTCGAGACGTAGCGCGGCTGTGACATAGGCTAGGTAGAGCCGTGTACAACAGATTGGACCAACGTTTCCGGAAGGGAACGTGTCAGTGACGAGGATAGGGTGGGAGTCCATGTAAACCGTCGAGCTTGTACGATTCGGGGATTTTCTGCGAGTATGGGATCGAGCAGGTTAGATCGTGATGGGAGGAGAGGGACAATAGGGAGAGTCGGAGAGGGGGAAGTGAGAGGGGTGTGAGCTGTCAGAGTGGGTTCCGCACTGAGACATTCGTACGCGAACCTGCGCCTTGCCCCATCATGCTCCTAGCGCCTGACAGTTTTGGGTTTGGCGTGATAGATCAAATGGCCGGATCAGACGCCGATGGGCCATAAGATTGATTCTGCAACGGGCATCTTGCACTAGTCTCACCAACTGGCCGGGCAGGCAAGCAGGCAGGCAGGCAGGTAGGCAAGCTGGTGGAACTAACAGACTGACAGACGACGGCCAGCCAGGCTTGTGGGTGTTCTGTTTCCCTTTGGCTTTATAAGTGAGGCGGCATGGAGACGCCGCTCCCTCTGTCGTTGAATCCATGATGGACCGTGGCGGCATCCACGTCCCAGTACCCCCCCGGGAGTTGCGAAGCTCGCAAGGTGGGCGTCGTGGAGTGTGCATAGCACAACAGATATGGTAAGAGAGCGATATAAGGCTTAGTGGTCAATCTTTGAGCGGGGGGCTGGGTTTCTGTCTGAGGTGAATGGAAAGATGCCAAGCCTCTAATGGGATAAGGACGAGTCAGAAAAGCTATCTGTTTGCGGTCATGTTGGATTACAAACAATGCAGAACCGGCACAGCCCGCAAGCCCACGCAACCCCCCCCTCCTCTGCTGCTCCCCTTCAGTCTACTCCCACCCAAGTCCTATCTGGTATCATTGTCCAGCCCCGGATGCCTTCACAAGCCGTAAGCCCCGCTCTTGGGTCTGGGTTTTGACGAGGTTCTGGCAGCTTCGGCAGGTGATGGTCTGTGTTGACTCCCGAGAGCCTCCTCGTCCTCATCCTCCGCCGCCGCCGCCGCCGCCCCCCCCCTCCTCTAGCAGTCAGTCAGTAGTCACCCGTCGAGTAGCAGGAAAGCACGGATGGGGCTGTCACAGCACAGACATGACAGACTACCTTAGCCCAAGGGAAGGCATAAGGAGCGGCTGCCCTACCCCTCCATCCCTCATGCGCTCTGTCCGGCGTAGATGTGCTAACGGCTGGTCCGTACGACGGACGCATGTAGCGGCAACTATGGCCCTCGACTCGAGAGGCGGCCCCGACCCTCTGGGCTGGGATATGGCAGGGGCTGCGCGAGGCGTCGACTCGCTGAGCAACCGCAGTGCGCCGGCCCTTGAATGGAACTAGTATCGCTTACTGATGATGCTCTTGCTGTTGTTGTTATTGTTGTTTTGTGTTGAGCAGCGAGCGAATCGCAACTCACGTGTGATTTGTCATGGAGTGAGAAGAGTCGCTGGGCGATAACGGCAAGTCGATCGGCACCAGTACATTACATTGGGTGAAGTGGGCAAGAGGGTCGTCTCTGGAAGATTTGTTTGAATGTGTTATTTTGATATTGGTTCTGCTCTGCTAGGATGTCCAATCCCCCCCCCCCCCCCTCCATATCTCGCACCCTTGGTTTCAGCCTGTGATTTTGGGTTGCTCCGACATAGGAAACAATGATTAGGTAAATACTGTTTTTGGTGTTGCGAAGAAAGTAAAGCGGCCATCGTCGACAGACCCGCCCAGACGTCATTCGAAGCTCGCGCTCCCCATGTCGTTCTGTATTGGTAGAAGATAGGATAAACAGAAATCAAGGCAAGTCGCGGATCCTTCGCGTACATTGGTGATCCCGTGATAAACGCCAGGTATCTCCTAGACCCCAAGCCTATCCTGACCGAAAAGAAAAACTCCCAAAGCGCTCCCATGCCCATATTGCTGCCAGCCCAAACCCACCACCCAACAATCCAAGAGAGAAACGAACCATCTCAGAAGACGAACCCTTCCTCGACTAGCTTGTCCACGTCTCCACCCGCGGCCTTGACGGCCTTGATGGCCGCTTCGCTTAGTCTCCGGCGCTTCTCCATAGCCTCCTTTTCGCGGCGGGCCTTGGTTTTGGAGCTCCCGCTTGGCGCGACGCCCGTCATGAGTATGTTCTTGTCGCTAGGGGTGAAGTTGACGAAACCGACGCCCTCCGGCGCACCACCGAGGCCGCCTCCGATGGAAGGCGTACGCATGCTCTCGCGCCTCGACCACGACCGACGCTTCTTGACGTTCGCACTCAGCGCTGCGCCGCCTCCTATACTGGAGAGCGAGCCGCCACTGCTGTGGCGAGACCGGTTTGTGGGTGTGGGTGACGTTGAGGAGTCGCGGCTGGGTTGGCGTGTGCGGCTCGTGTTGCGGGTCTTGCGCATCGGCGTCGTCAGGCACAGATGCCGGGCGCCGGCTGAGGGAGCACGGGGCATACGAGGTCGGCGTTCAGTCATCTGTTGAGGGTGTTGCGGATGGTGGAGCTGCTGCTGCTGCTGCTGCTGCTGTTGTTGTTGTTGTTGTTGTTGTTGTTGTTGTTGTTGTTGTTGTTGTTGATGATGATGTTGCTGCTGCTGCTGCTGCTGTTGAGGCTGGTAGTGTATGATCGGTGACGACGTGGCCCGCGGTTGAGGCATGTGGATCATGAGCCCGGACATCTCGTGACCGGCGGCCATGTTGTTGTACTCGTATGCCAGATCGTTGTGTTGTGTCTGCATGGCGAGGTTGAAGGTGGCATTGCGAGCGTTCTGTGCTTGAAACTGTGTGTTAGATGACAAGTCCATGTGGCCCCCATCCCACCACTGGTTGTCGAGACCGTCGCTGGCATAGGCATTGGACCAGGCGACGTGGGAGTCAGTCTGGGGAGTCGTCGTGACCATGGGCCAAGTGGCCTTGCTCGAGTTGGCAACGTTGCCAGAGCTCATCTGCTGGTGGTGATAAAACATGCCGCTCTTGTCATCAAGAACGGGAGTGTCCATGGGTGTGGTAGGGTCGCTGCGGCGGAACATTGGTACGTGACCTCCAGCAACGCCAGCGTCGAAGAAAGGATCTTCAACGTAACCACCGCAAAAGGGCATGCCGTTGGGTCCAGTCGATGATGTGGAAGGTAGGTCCTGGGGGATGGTGGCACTGTTGGGGGGGGAGAGAGGCAGTCTTGCGGACGGGGGGCCGCCAAGGCCGAGCTGCTCGGGGCGGAGCTTGAAGGCCTTGCGAGGCGAGACGTTGGGCGAAAGGGGACCCCTGCTATCGAGGGTAACGGAAGACATGTTGGGCTGTTTATGGCGTACGGAGGCAGCTTTCTGCTGCAGTTTGGATGCGACGACTTTGAAGAAGTTGCTCGGCTTACGGCCACCGTTGTTGGTGTAGGTGTTGGTGGTAGTAGTGCTGCTGCTGCCGCTGCTGCTGCTGCCGGCTACGTGGAGGTTGGTGTTGTTGCTGGTAGCGGACGAAGGTTGAGGAAGAGGAGTAGGAGGATGGGAAACGACGACAGATGGAGCGCGAGATGGCGACGCTTTCAACGATATGCCTTCCAGGCGGAGAAGCTCAGAGTCAGAGATCGACTCGGACCCGCCAGTGTGAGCTGTGTCCGGATAGGTCGAAGCCTTCCTTTGTCCTTCCCTGTGGTCGATCGACCACGAAGACTGGGGCCCGGGGACGCCCACAGCAGACGGTACCATGGCGTCTGCGGTCACCGCCGCTACTCTAGCGGCTGCTGATGATGGCACTACTGTGGCAGCGGGACCTGCTGCCGCGCTAGTCCTAGCTTCCACGAGCGGCTGCGAGTGGCAACTCAGTAGGTCGCCCAGATCGCCCGATGCACTTGTCGTGGACACGGAACCATGGGCGGGAAGTGGGATGTTGAATAAGAACGACTCGGGTAGGGAAGACGGAGGGACCTCGTCACCCCCGGCGGTCGAAAGCCTCTCGAGGTTGACAAATTCCTCGAAGAGGAGCGCGTCGTTGTGGGCTGCACCCAAGCCTGGCCCTCCTCCGCCCATCCTCTCTGTCGCTTCCCCCCATGACAAGTGAGACTGCCCCCCGCTGCCGCCTTTGTCCTCGTCCATCGAGTCCAGTGAAAACTGGACCTCCGAATAGGCCATGTCGCTGTAGTCTGTCGGGTGCGAGCTGAGACTGACACTCGCGCCGGGGCTCGTCGTCCAATGCGAGACGGCCACTGTCATGCTCTCCTGTGTCTCGGTCTCGGTCTCTGTCCGTCCGTCAGTGTCCCTAGGTTCCGCAAACGACCGAGAGCCAGGGCCAGGGCCAGGAACAGTAACAGAAACGGAAGCCGAGGTCAACGGGGAGGGTCCAGTATACTGCGCGGGTATGAATGCGAGGTTGCGAGTAGCAAGAGGTGGATGTGTCGTGGGAAACGAATGAGCAGGAAATGTTGCAATGTTCGTTTCCGGCGAAAGGTGTAGAAAGGAGTGAGAAAAAGTTTGGCTACAGAACTGGGGTATAACCATAGAAGAATGGGATTCTTGTACGGAAAAGAAAGCCGTCGATGGTTGCAAGCCCGCATCGGGCGGAGGGGACCAGAGTCAACAAATACCGCCCAGCTCGTGTCTCTGATCCTGCCACAGCAACTATTGCACGAGAAATGGAAGCGGCACATATACGGGCAGCACTGGAATTGGGAGTACAGAGATCACCGTGCTTTCGGCGAGGGATACGGCCTGTGCCTGCATGGCCAAAGGAATGCAGCCCACGTCGTCTAGCGACCCAGCAGCATACCCGCATTCCAGTCGTTGCGGCCAGCTCCTATTCTGTACTTCATAGAACTGGGGTAGATAGGGTTGAGAGACAGCGGCGTCAAAGAAACCCGAGTCTCATTCCTTTCATGCCAACGTCGTTGAACAAGAAAAGAAAACTCTCAGGAAACAATCCCTCTCGTCACCCTCTCGCCAAGGGCTGCCACGAATAACAAAGAGACGTCGTACTTCGCCTGTCGACACTCTCACACATCCACTTGCGCGGGTTTGCACTGCCCACCAGAGCGCTCCAATTGACCAAGTCAACCGCACCTTGATATCGCGTTTGCTGGATCCCTCTCTCATGCGTTGTTGTGGATATCGTCGGGGTGGTTAACGCCACAGCTGGAGCATAGATATCATCATGAGCCTGGCCAATTAGGCCTCCCCCCCCTTCCCTCTCGATGGTGCGAGAGGGCATACATACCAAGGCCTAGGCTTGCGCTTCCCACATCCTCTCTCTCTCTCTCTCTCTCTCTCTCCACTGGGGGAGGCATGCCATTGTGCAAATAGAACTGGATACGTTGAGGTGCAGTAGCGACAAACAAGGAAACGGAGATACTTCGAGAAACTAAGGGCGCGGCCGGCTCAGAGCGATGGCGCTGCCAAACTGCAAGGAACGACGCCATCCACGGCCGGGCCGGCAACTGGCCCAGGCTCCAGCTGGGACTGGCTCTGTCGGCTTCCCTTCAACCGAGGGCCAACAACAGCTGCCAGTACAGGTCAGCCCTGATGGCAAGGCATTGCCCGGAAGACGCTACTACATGTGCCCTCTTCTCTTGACCATGCATAGAAAAGGTTGCCGCCTCAAAGTCTAATTTTCATTAACCATGAGTTCCTTGGCCAGGAGGGTGGAGAAGGGATGAATTGTGCCTTGTTGGCATGGTGCAAGTGTGGCGCGTGTTCGCTGGGTGATAACTGGAATGCCCCGGCCGTCTTTCCCTCATGACACTTGAGAGAGGAGGGGCCGAAATGGTCCAGTGAGCATGTCATCGTACGGATGGCGACAGGTCGCTTGATCCTGAATGGAGTTGTAATCCATTGTGTTGATTGTGTGTGAATGGAAGGCTCCCGCTCAAAAGCCCGCTTTGGCCATAATGGATCCCAGTCTGCCGGTGCGGCTTGCTCGCGAGGAATAACCGTTGCGTTGCACGCGGTTCCCCAACCATCCGTGACAACGATAATTCTGAAAACATCGACGTGCTGCATCATCTTGGTCTTAGTCATCGGTAAAGCTCAAGTTGGGAAGGTTCGAAGTTGAATACTGCGACACTTCCTAGCGCGAAGGGCTTAGGTAGTTGATTTCGATACATCTCTAAACCACCCTGATCATTCCGCCTCATCAATGGTCTGAAGGGAGATGGCGAGATTATGCGCCTCCCCCCCCCACCGAAAGGCGTCTTCCTCTGGCCACGAGTATACATTATTGACGCCTCCCTTCTGCAGCCCCTTCTGCAGCCTCTTCTGCAGCCTCTTCTGCAGACCCAGAGGCTGTGGAGCCGACGCCCGGCCGTGGAACCGGGGGTTCCGCCGTGAATGACTCGGAGACATCCTCCGCCCGGCTATGCCCGTGGTTGTCGATGGCGGTCCCGACAATTGAATTTCGATATGATAAAATCTGAAGAAGGCAGAGACAAATGAAGTGACCTGTCGCGGGGTAAGAAAGTAGAAAACTAAAGCCTCCCGTGTCACGCCGGACATGAAAACAAAACGCCGTTGCACTTCCTGTGACTGGAGTCATTTTGACCCCAAGCCCTCCTTTTTGGGCTTCTGCTGAAAAGATAGTGTTGAGTTGTAAAAATCAACCGGATACCGTCTGTGGTATCAACGCCGTTGCCGAAAGCCGGCCATCATGTGCTCCGATCCCATGGGTATATCGCTGAAATAACCTCCCGACGCTTGAACATTAAAATTGGTATGTTGTGCCAGAACTCATCGTCGCCATTCGAAGCCTTCAGGCCTTATGCGCCGGTCGAGGCTCCGGAGTTGGTCCTGGCCCTTTCCGTCGCCGCATCCTGGGTCGCTGTCTGACAACATTGTGACACCGAAGAGCCGTTTCAGCCGAGCCCCTATATCTCAAAGGTCCGAACTTCCGTATAGAATCAGACGTGCTGCCCATCAACCTTCTTTTGTCGGCAGCCAGGGCTCTTTGCATGAGAAGAAATTCTTCACTCTCGTCACAGAAGCCCTCGTCTACTTCTAGGCAACTCGCGAATGAGTCAGTCTCGGGAAAGCCGTCTGCCTCGATCTTGGGTACGTGCGGATGTGCAGGTATAGTCAACGGCAAAGAAAGAAGGGGCAGGGCTGGATGGACGTTGCACTGCGACTCTTGTGAGATCATTTCTTTCATGCGGGCCTCTATGGCGGGGGCATTGTCCGGATTGTTGACAAATCGGCTGTGACGCTGGCGTCGTGCTCTCTTCCAGTCGGCGACGGCTTGGTATTCCTTCATATCGTCTATCGCGAGGTCCATATTGCAATCCTCATCAACCTCCAAAGAGGCCATGGACAAACCAGCGACAATGGATGGCGATGTCCCGGTCGCCGCCGCCCAGGTGTTCGACTGGCGTATTTCTGGAATGAACATCTGCTTGCTGAGTTCATCAGCAAGACTGTCGATTGGCTGTGGTAGGTTTGAAGAGTCGTGGCCCAAAGCCGGAGCACACGTCGAGGGCGATGCAACTGCTTCGGTCAAGTCGGGTAGTTCTCGTGGGCGCTGCCTCGGCGATAGATGCGACTCGTCGGTGGCGCCATCGGCACCTGAGCGCACCTGCATTCCTATTGCGTAGTGGTCGAACATGTTTATACCTGGCAGCAGCGGAGGCGGTGACGAGTCTTGGTGGTCCCTGATACCCCCAAGAGAGGGCAAGAGAAAGGTTGAGGGGGAACGCTCGGGGGGGGGGGGGGGGGGGGGGAGCGGGCTTGTATTATGAAGGCATCTACAGCGGCGCTCAGGATTGGACGAAGGGGCGCCGTGGCGGCTACGATAGGCCAAGTGCGAGTGCTAAAGCAGTATCGAGTGGTGAGTAGTAGCAGCAGCAAGAATGACGTTGCGCAGGTGTTGCGAGACGGGGTACAAGGACCAGGAAACGACAAGACGGGGGCCAGACGCGTTTCCGGCCCCAGGTCTTCAGCTTCGACAAGCGTCGTTGGTAAGGGAAGGGAGCACAGCTCGTTCGGCAAGGCGAGAGAAGATGTGAAGCAGATTGGCCGGGGCGGTCTTAACGGAGGTGTGGCGGAAGGGCAAGGAGAAGGAGGAGGTGTTCTAGCGCAGGTGCCTCAGCGAATGGTCGCACAGGCCGGTAGCTAGCGTAGCTGTGGTGGTTGGGTTCTCGAGCTGGAGGGCGAATCTGTATCTGAGCAAAGCAAAGGCAACAAGAAGTGAGGGCGTGCAGTATGGGTGGGCGGCCGTAATGTATGTATGTAAGGCGGCTTGGATGCAGGAAGGATGCAGGAAGGATGCGGCAAGGAACGGGTGTGCTGCTGATGTCGAGTACGAAGTACCGGTATCAGACCAAGCAGTATGTGTACCGTATGGCCGGCACTACTAGTGACAAGCTAGCTTAGGCCAGGTTTTCTCTGGAGACAGTGGAGGAACAAGGAGAAGAAGGGATGAGGCTAGAGGGGTTGGCGAGACCAGGGCGGTGGACTGGGATTGGCTGGGCGTCTCTGGGCTGCGCAACGCCAACAGCCGATGGGCCAGAGCGAGGGCCACGAGGAATGAGTCGTCAGGGGTGCGTGTGGGGTGCTTGCAGCACGTTTTCGGGGCGGCTGTCCAAAGGATGGTCGGAGAAGGCGTATTTCGGGGCTGAGCGATGTCTTGTATGGGATATGGATGGATGGATGGATGGATGGATACTAACGTATAGTTGACGCATGGCCAAAGTCAGCAACTAGGTATGTGACGGGTTGCAGAGGATGCCGTATCTGAGCAGCGCCAACCTTGGTCAAAGGTTGACTGCCGCGGGGCGCGGGGGGCCTGAGAGCGAAGCAAGGTCGTCGAGGAGGTTGTTTGTCAAGGCAAGCTAGACTTGTTGAAGGTTTTGGGCCGAGAATACAGGGATCTCTCTTCCCAAGCCAAGATGGAGGTCTCAATTCAATTCCCGCTCGAAGCATACGTGACAGGGCCTGTCTGCCGTGCAGGGAAGAAGAGGAGGGTATAGCGAACGGCGAGGATTCGTATTAGAGCCGAGCGTCGACAGATGGATCTCGACTTCCACTCTGGAAAGCTGCGAAGAGGGGATGAGCGGCGACGATGAGTGTTGAACCGAATAGTGGGCACCCAATGAGAGGTGACGAGGGCGCAGGGGCAGCCGATAACACTGCACCCGGTAACATGGACGCGATGGAGGAAAAAGGAAAATGGAAGAGAAAAGAAAGACTCGGGGGGACAATCGGGCGACGGTCCAGGATGGTGGGAAATGATGCCGGTGCAGTGCAATGCAGTGCAGTATCCGTACTCCGTACCGTACCTCTCACTACCGGCTCCCAATGCTCTGGGTCTAACGGCTGGGTGCTACATAAGGTGCCTAAGGTTGGGTAGCGTGCGCCAACGAGAGGGGACGCCCCGTATGAGGGAGATTGGATGACGGGCCAAGGGAGGAACGAGCGCCGGGCAAAAACACCCTGAGACGCGACCCGAACTTCTCATCAGCTTGGGCCGGTCGTCGTTTGGGTTCAGCCTTGACATGTGAGCATGCAGACCGTCGGGAATTCTAATGGTGGAGGATCTGGAATATGGTTACCTAGTAGATAGGTACCTAGGGAATTAATCAATCCCCAATCCCAGACGCACAGGTGGAAAGAAAGACCGACCGCTCCCTGCCCCGTCCCAAACGGAAGGAAGGGAGACAGACAGACAGACAGACGGGGCGGCCGCTTGCTGATAGGTACGTACCAGCATATTCCTAGTACCGGTAGTGTAATATGCCTCAGCGCGCCTAGGTACCTCCAAATCAGGTACGTACGACGAACATGGACCCTGAATCGGGCCTTCCTTTTATTCGTCCGATCCGCGGATCCACCTGCATCTAAATCTGCACCTGCACCTGCACCTGCACCTGCACCTGCACCTGCACCTTGCGCCGTGCACAAACATCCGAGCGTGACGGGGAAACAGGCAGGCAGGCTCAACGATCCAACGACGACGACAACGACAACGACTCGACACCCTCCTCTGCTCTCAAACGACCTCCCATCACCAGGGTAGGTAGGACGCACGGTTGTCCGTCATCCAGCCAGCCGAGGTGTCATAAGGCTCAAAAGCTCTGAGGATGGTGCGCCCAGTCTAACACAAAGTCCCGCCCCATGTCGAAACCAATCTCCACGGCCATCGCCCGCCATCTACTATGTATGTCATCACCGACTAAGGTATCCGTATACTCGGCTGACTAGCTGCCTATCCTACCTATCGACCTACCTACTGACTGGCACACTAGATATGTGGCCCTTGCCTCCAAATATATTCTCCAACGCAAAACCGCCCCTACCGTACCCGTCAGCTTATCGTCAGGGGTCGCTCCCGTCGTCGCTTCTGATGTTCACCTACCGACCTCGCTTACAATCAATCACACACTCAAACACACACACACACACACACACACGCCTTCTCCGGCGCGTTTCGCTCCTAAAGTGTGTGTGTTCGATGCTCGATCGGGACCACCCCCCCGGCATCATCTGATCAGAGACTGAGACCAAAAATCCCACCCCAGCGCTCGGGCGCATGGCACATGAGTCTGAGACTGTGTCACCTTAGCTCGACCGCTTCCATGTCTCCATGATGCCCACTCGCCTTCCAGAATCTCAGGAATTCCCTGTTGTCTCGGAGCCTCTCTGCCAATACCAAACCCCCTTTCAAAGCGGTCGCCCTCTGTCTCTTAGTCTTCTGGCGCTAATCAGTGAGACGACGAATCTAGAATGATAATACCCATACCCCTTGCTTGGTCGACACTCGCTACCTACTGTACACTACAATGCAGCCGAGTACCGTAGTCGCCTGCCAGCTGCCAGCTGCAAGCTGCATCCCTCATCCCCTGCGCCCGCATTCTTGGGTATTCCACGAATGTAGTGTAGCACGACCAGATTGCCTCATTCTACCCAATGCAGCCAGCCCAGCACACCACCTTTGCCTGCCATGTGGCCACAGATGCTCCCCCGCCGTCACCGTAGCGCGCCATTGTTGAGACGAGGGGGGGGTCCAGTCGTTGCACAGAGCGCTGCCAGCAAACAAACACATGGTTCAACCGAAACATATCTTCTCGCAAAGTATCGCCGTATGCATATAGTTGCGACAGCTACGAGTCACAACGCACCAAAAGCTGTTGCACCGATTCGGTTCCGAACAAGCACTCGAGCGCCACATGCCTGGGACCGCTTCCGTCCCACCTTTCGCCAAAGACCAACTCTGGGTTTCATGACCTCATGCTCGGAGAAGAGGGGGGGCATCCGGAGTGGCATAGCTGCTCTACCGCGCGCCCCTTGGTTTGATTCAAGTCTTCAAGATCGTCACATCAATCAACGCCAGCTGGACGGTCCAGACAGCCAGATAGATGATGCTTCCAGTCAACTCTCTAGCATCCGACACCAAGCCCCCCATTCAATAGGCAGCGCTGAGACATGAAGTATAAATTAGCGTCGAAACTGCCAAAGCGTGTCAGCCCAAGGCTCTGGATGCCTCACTTTTCTTCCCTTCAATGCGCTTAGCCTATGCACATCAGACGGCTCAATGTCGTCTTGACTAGAACTAGGCTGTTGCCCCTGTTTGAGCGAAAACGCAAACTTGCCCTACGTTGAACACCATGGCCCCTGCTTGACCCCTCCAACAAACCAAGATCTCGAACAAGTGGACAATGACGGACGTCAAGCCTCAGAGCTGAGGCAGTTGTAATTTGGGTACAAGCGAGGCTTTTCTCCCAACTCCCGCCTCCCCCACCCCTCGTCCTACCTTGGTATCAACCGTATCCAGGGTCCCTTTGGTGACAATACTGATGTGCTTCTACGACCTGCAGCCTTCGTCAGTCGAAGCCTTGTGCCCAAGACTCATGTATGAGACGTCTGGTGATCGAAAATCGGCTTGATAACATATAATACTGCATCTCCGCCTAGAGTTGGGCTTAATGATTGTAACGTCGTTGCAGTCACTCTGAGCGGTCGGCGGCAGGTTTCGTCTTGAAGCTAAAGACGTCAAGGACTTAACCGTGAAGCGGTGTTGCTGCTCATCTTGTCCCAGCGCGTAACCACGTCCCCCACTCGACGGGACCGAGTAGGCACAAACCAAAGCGGGGGTCTACGCAATATCATCTCAGTCTCCAAATGACGCTAAGGATTGCTTCTCTGTTAGCAAATCTTTCGTCGACACTCTGACCAATTTGCAACATCGTGCCATGGCCCTTGCACCACGACTGCCTTGGCGTCTATTGTAGGAGGGCGGCCAATGGCGCTTGACTATCCCGAGCAAGGCTCCATCAAGTCGCGTGTAGGTTTATTATCACACACATGCGCAGCGTCAACATCCCGACATAACGTCTAACGGAAGCCAGAGGTCATCAGACAGTTTTGAATTCAAGCCAGAAGGGACTATTATTAGGTTACCACGGGTTAGGCCCGGCCAGAGTTTGAATCTCCCCATAGGCCTTTCGGCCGAGGGTTGGGTCGAAGCTAGTACTGCGAACTGCCCGATCGGACTGGGTGTTCTATACCGTATCAAGATATTGAGTTGCGGCACAGGTCAGAGGTGCTGCGTATCGGGTTTTTACGTATCGTGACATTACATATGTACCGTGTGACCTGCACTAGACCGCTTATGGGCGGGTTCAGATACAGTCATGCATCAATCAAGGTTTGAACCGCGGACCGGCCGGACAGTTGCTGTTGCCTCTCCGCCATAGTAACGTTGGAAGACGACCGTGAAATCAAAGGGTGAGACCCCCTCCACTTTGTAATAGACAGCCGGATGCGCCGACGTCACCTTGCTCTCGCACGTAATCCAAACCCCGATGGGTTGGCACATGACCTCACGACTGCGTTCCAGCAGCGGCTAAGCTTCCTAGACACGTTCTGAGACAGGATCAGCGACTTAGGTATTGGGAAAGCTCCGAAGCATACGGTCCGTATGGTCAGCTGTCGGGTAAGGCTGAGTTTCCGGGTTACTAAGGCCGAGAAGGTTTACTTGCTCCACCACGGGCCTTGCTTCTTTGCTGGGAAATATCGTCGATCGATCTCATACTGTCGCGTGTTTGGTGGGCGACTCCCGCCTCGGCCGAGCTGCAAGGACAAAGCTTTTGCTTTTCTGTTTTTCAACGGGCGTGGGCTTAGCGGGCGAACGACGGGCTCGGGGTGCACCCGACGTATATGGTTGCAGAAGTCGCCGTGCTGGTCATCTTTATCCGAAGCCAGAATTGAGAGGAGCGGTGTTCCTTTGCCACGGTTGAGACGTTACGTGCGTGATGCTTAGTACGGTTGGCGGGTCACCCCTCGTTGGCCACCGGATGTCAAGGACTCGACCATGTGCATAGCAGTGCCTAACTCCGAGACTCATGTTATTCAGTGAAACCCGGCTACCTAGGAAGGGAAATATATTCGTCTCACGTTCAAGTATCAGCACGTGCCGGCAGACGCGCTATCCCGGGATAAAATGAGCACATTACGTCTAAGAAGATAAAAGCCGGACAGCGTTTCTCTTACACCATGCACATGTGTTCAAGATGACCGAGGCCCAAGCAAGTAACTAGTGTCTCTGAAGCGGTCTTGCACCCGGAAGCACCCGGCCGGTCTTGGCGGACCGTAGTCGGGCGCCGGTCACTTTTGATCGGCCCGACTTGTGGTGAAGTCCAGTTCCGAGCCATTCAACATCCATCATCAGTTATGTACGTGAATTGAGAACACATACGAATTCGGTTTCGTACTTTCTAGCTACCTGGGTTTGCAAAAAACACCAGCCACTAGAAAACGCTCTCGAAGATGACGAATCCCTCGTCCGCCATCACATGGTGGCTGGTTACCGCCACCAAATCGAAATCCCCAGTCGCGCTCACCACCACCATCGTGACTGTTGCCCTCCTCAACACTACGCTCAGTTCCATGTTCCTCATCGACATTAATGCCACCGCATGGCCCCCAGTGATCGCAGTCGCAGTCCCAGCCAGGTAGCCATACCTCTACGAGATTGGGGTAGCCTTCACTCGCGATCTGGACGAGCAGCGACTCCATCTCTTCGGGGTAGTTCTCGGGAGAGCCGCGGATTTCCAGGAGTTTCAGGCTTGGTGGTAACTCCCGGAGGACACAGTCTTCCCCTCTCCCCATATAACTCGCCGAAACCGAAAGCTCTTCGAGACTGGTGAGCATGGCCACCGAGTTAACCCGCAAGGCCATATTCAGCTTACTGAGGGTGCCCGCATGCACCGAGAGAGCTGATAGGATTTCGTCCGGAGGGGCGAAGACCTCGTATGGTGAGAAGACGAACCCCTTCAGCCCGCGGCAAGACCTGATGATTTTGACCGCGTCGTCAGTACTGGCACCCCTGAGATGCAACGACGTGATTCCGCCCCAGTCCACATCCCCGTGACCAAGGCGACCAGGCGAACCCGTGAGACTGGAACTGGAAGTGGGTTAGGTGCTCGAGGCGAACGGAGGTTTCCCCCGGGTCGGGCATGTGTTTGAAAAGGCCGGTATCAAAGGCGAACATGCTGAAAACCCTCACATTCCGCGCCATCGGGAGCAAAAGGGCTGCGATGAAGTGGAAGCCGTTAAAGGCCTCGTGCCACCGGGGGGCAGGAAGGCCGAGGTCCCGCACAACGCTCGTTATAAATGCGACGTCGTCTTCATCGGTGATCGGGGCGCCGTGACATATCGGGGACAGGTGGAAGGTGTGGACGTATGCTGCGATCTCGGGTCGCTCGTGCCAGAGCCTGACAAGAGCGATGAGCTGCGGGATAGTCGGGTAGGGTTTGAGCCTGTGGCGGTCCAGGCAGAAATTTTTCCATAAGAGGGGCAAGATGGCATCGTGGAATAGCCGGCAGGTCTGCGAGGCCGCCACCAGAGTCGCCAGGCCGTCGTCGTCCACCTTGAACAGGGGCTCGTTCAGGTCAAAGGGACAACGTCTGACGTTGAAGCACTCGACAAAGACTTTGTGCAGAAGCTCTGCGGGGAGCTGAGTTATTGTTGCCATGTACTGCGGAGGCGTTGAATGTGGCACATTTAGCTCTAGCATCGAAACACACTAGGAGTGAGGCTTAAGTAAGAGATTTTGAAGAGTGGAAGTAAGACTATATGTTTATGTATCATACCTGGCCTTTCATAATTGCTACATTGTTATATATATAGTCTACTCCCCTGGACTCTGAGAAGTTCCATAGCAACCCCCGGGAGATGACAGGTCGCATCATGATCCGTCTTTCTTATGATGACTCCACGCAGGGGAAAGCCTACGGGGACAGCGCTCTCGAGACACTGACGCGAATGTCGGTTTCAAATCCCATTGTCAACACCATGACGCCACTACCTATATAATCCCCCCTTGAAGATTGTTTCTTGCCTCCAGTATTAATACTGCCTACAGAACTCAATATACCTCGATTTCGCTATTCGCCCCATCAGCCAAAATTGCTTTTGCTAGGCTGACAGCACAAAGGATTATACCTCCAAGGGCTGATGCTTCAGTAGGCCTGTTATGGTATTCAAATGCACGAACCACCGGGATGCCGTCTTCCATGTCCATTGGAGGGTGCCGACGTTGATCAAACCGCCCTCCAGATTGAGATGTCTTGGAGAGTTTTCGTACAGGGCTTGCGGTCCAACACTGTCTACGATAGTGTCTAAAGGCTGGGATCCAAACGCCGAGGCGAGATAGTCTGGCAACGATGCTGGCGGACCTAGCTCCGCCTCGTTGGCGGCATCGGTGCGGGCTCCGGGGGCGCCATATCCTTGGAATCTCCAAGCATTTCAGGCACAGATATTAGAGAGGTTTAACCTCTCGTAAGAATAAGAGGATGCGAGCGAGATACAAGAGAGGCTGGAGACGCAAGAAAGGCCGTCGAGTTGACGGAGGCTGCGTAGCGGGTCGCGACGCCATGTCGGACCCTCCGAATTTCCTAATCAGGCAATTTCTAGCCTCCGAATAGAGCATCTTTGGTCGGAGACTTCACGACGCGAAAACACGCCGAACGCACAGATGGGCCCGACCAGACATATTATCTCTGTGTTTTTTGCAACAAGAAACCTACATTGTGGTTTTTATTTCATCTTCTACCCCAAGCGATTGTTTTAAGCCAGACCCGAAATCAAGGGAGTGCAGCAGCAAGCACGTAAATATCCCCGGAACCAGCCGAGTATGTATGGCATGACACCCACCGAGCACAAACCAGACGAGGAGAAAGCAACATCCAACACGGGTCTGTCGCGAAAAATGCCTGAAGCCATGCAAGAATCCTTGCCCGGTGGTGCGAGAGACTACGACGCGCCCCCCGGCGGCGGCAACACCCTGAACCCTTCTTCTTTGGGGGAAGCAAGTCCAGAATCTTCAGAAACTCCAAATGCGAGCGATGACACAACCACCACACGCGTGAGCCAGGCCAAGCGGGACTGGAGGTTTTGGGCTCTCCTGGCCTCCATCAGCCTTGCTGGGTTGCTCACGGCTCTGGAGGGAACCATCACGTCGACGGCGCTTCCCTCAATCGTCGACGAGCTCGGCGGCGGCCACCTCTACGTCTGGATCGTGAACGGGTATTTGTTCGCCATGTGAGTAGCGCACGACTCCCGGCCTGGTTGATATCTGGGCGTCTCTCGAGTCAGCTGACACAAAACCCCCATCCTCTGTCTAGGACGGCGATGCAGCCCTTGTTCGGACAGCTGGCCAACGTCTTCGGCCGCCGCCGGCCCATGCTCGTCTCGACCGCCCTTTTCGTGCTCGGAAGCGGCGTCTGCGGCGGCGCAAACAACGTGGGGACCCTCATCGCCGGGCGGGTCATCCAGGGCATCGGGGCCAGCGGCACCACCGTGCTCACCGAGACAATCATCTGCGACGTCGTGCCGCTGAGGGAGCGCGGCAAGTTCCTGTCCATCGTCATGGGCATGATCTTCTTGGGCACCGCGCTCGGCCCGTTCTTCGCCGGCCTCATCGTGCAGTACTCGAGCTGGCGCTGGACCTTTTACCTGGCGCTGCCCGTGGGCGGCGCCGCCCTCCCCGCCCTCTTCTTCTTTCTCAACGTCGGGTAGGAGAAGGAGACGAACCTGGCCGCCAGGATTTCGACGATTGACTGGACGGGCAACGTCATCTTCATCGCCTCCATCACGTCGGTCCTGCTCGGCTTGTCGTGGGCCGGAGTGCTGCACCCGTGGTCATCCTACAACGTCTTGGTGCCGCTGCTCGTGGGCATGGCTGGCCTGGCCGCATTCTTCGTCTTTGAGGGCTCTCGCTTTGCCCCGAATCCCACCGTTCCGCTGCACCTGTTTTCTAACCGGACATCGCTCAGCGTCATGTTCATAACCTTCTTCCACGGGACCACCACCATCTGGCAGCTCTATTTCATGCCTGTCTACTTCCAGGGCGTTCTCGGCTCGTCGCCCAGCCGATCGGGACTCCAGATCCTCGCGACTGTCCTCGCCATCTTGCCCGGTGCTGCCGTTGGGGGCGGCCTCATGTCCAAACTGGGTCGCTACAAGCCCATCCACTACGTCTCCTGGGCCATCACCCTCGTCGGCCTCGGCCTGTTCACCCTCCTGGACAGAGACTCGAGCACAGGGGAATGGGTCGGCTTCCAGATCGTCTATTCCATGGGAGCTGGCATGCTGATCCCCACGCTTCTCCCAGCATTCCTGGCCCCGCTGAGCGAGTCCGATACTGCGCTGGCGACAGCGACGTGGTCTTTTGTCCGCAGCTTCAGCATGGTGTGGGGGACGGCCATACCCGCTACCATCTTCAACATCCGCTCCGACGAACTCGCAGCCAAGCTCGTCCAAGACGTTACGACCCGAGCAGCCATGTCCAAGGGCCAAGCGTATGAGCACGCCACTTCCGCGTTTCTCGCGACGCTACCTCCCGCTGTACGTGATACAGTCACCCAGGTTTTTGCCCAGAGCCTGCGTCTAACCTGGCTGGTGTCGCTCGCATTCGCCGGTGCCGGATTCCTTTTTGTGAACCTCGAAAAGGAGACGCCGATGCGGAGCGAGCTGGAGACTAGCTACGGGATGGAAGAGAAGCAGAAACCAATACTATCCAAAGTCTAAGTGTTAGTTAATCACAGAAGAGGGATATCCTGTAGATCACGTAACAAATTGTGATATAGAATGTAGTTACTTGTTATATTAGTTAGTTATAAAGTAAATCTAGACTTTTTTAGGTAGTATACTAGTAGTAAGGTAAATACTACTAAGGGAGGCAGTATGTTATATAAATATTACGTAACTACCTCCCCTAAAGTATACCTACTATATACTAATACTAGTAACTTTTCTTTTATAGTAAAAGTTACTAGTGCCTTAGCTATCTAGATTACCCTTAAAAGCCTTAAAAACATAATAAAAATTAAAACTCTAAAAGTATTATACTTCTTATAGTTATATACTATATATTCTTATATCTTTTATTTTTTTTATAGATAGTATAAGCTTATACTAACTTATTTAGAGGCGTTTCTCTTTAGCTATAGCTATTAGAGGTATATTTTTATATTAGTTAGATTTAACTACTATTATTATAGTTTAGTTAGTTATATAACTTATAATTTATTTTTTACTATATACTTATTATAATCTATTATACTTATATAACCTAACCCTTTATATATATCTTAGCTTTATTATTTATAACTAGGCCTTTAAGTGCTTAATTTAAAGATACCTTTATAAATCTATTAACTAGATTATTAGATCTAGTAATCTATTAGACTTTATAAAGCTTATATTACTTATAAGACTATCTTAATAATATAATATTAATTATAAAACGTTTCTCCCTTATAGTTTCTAGCTTAACTAGGTATTTATAAAATAAATATAAGTCTATATATATAATAGTTAGGATTAATAAAATATTAAGCTTTTTTATAATTATTATAATAGTTATAAAAAGGGTGTAAGCTATATTAATACTTATAACTATCTTATACACTTTAGATATAAAGACGCTTTAGGTAACTTATTTAGACTTTATAAATAAGAAATAAAAGATATTACTATAAAGAAAAAATTTAGCTTAGTTATTATTAACTTCTTTATTTATAAAGAGAATAATAAATCCTAACTATAAAGTTATATTATAATTATTAGTAAATAATTTATTTATAAATATAAATAGCTTAGCTAATATAAAATCTAAAGAGATAAATTATAAACTATAGTTAAGTAAGCTTATTTACTATTATAGTTAATAGTTAAGGTCTTTAATTACCTTATTATCTAGCTTTTTATATTAGGCTATAATAAAAAGATTATAGTACGCTTTAGGCTAGTAAATAGAGGTAATATATACTCCTTATACCTATTACTAAATAAAATCTTAGTAGGCTATAGGTAACTTTATATTAATTAATTATAGCTTTATTCCTTACTTTTTTTAGTAAAGTATAATAGAAGTATTTATAGTAAATATAACTATAATAATCTTACTATTAAAGGTAAGTAGTTAATTAATAGTAAGAAATAACTTATTCTTTATAGTAAATTTTACTTTAGTTAGTTCTTTATTTTTTTAGTTAGAAAATAAAAGATTTATTAAGCTAATAGTATTATCTATTTATATACTAATAAGTATAAAGTGTAGATTTTTACTAGATAATAAAAGAAAGTAAGGGTTATATATAGTAAAGACTATCTAAAGATTCTCCTTATAGTAATAGTTATAAGTAGCCTACTAGTACGTACCTACTTTAGTAATCTTATATAGAGGCTTAATAACCTTTATAATAGTATTATTAAGGTACTTATAATAGATTTAGGCTAAAAGTTTAGTATAAATAGTATAGTTAAGGTAAGAAGTAGATTAAATATAGGCCTATATAATATTATATAGCTATATAACTTTATTATTAATAAAAAAGGAAAAAGCTAGCATAAGGATAAGCTATTAGCTAGCTTACTAGATAGTAAGTAACTAAGTAAGAATAGCCTCCTTACTATTATTAGTATAGCCTTAAATAATAAGGCGTAATTTCTTATAAGGCCTCTTATTAGTGCTTTTTACCTTATTTATAATTTATAATTTAAAAATTTACTTATATAACTAAAGTTAGTTAATTATAGTAAATTTAAAGACGCTTTATATAATAAGGCTATTAATCTTAGTAGCTACTAATTACTTAAATAGCTTACTAGGTGCTATAATAACGCCCTTTTTATATATTTAAATTATAAAGGTTTAATAGGCTTCTTTTTTTACTAAAAAGAAGGTAGTATAAGGTATATTAGTCTTTTATAGTAAAGTATATCTTATAAGGATTTTTTTAGCTTATTAAGGTTATATAATAGTAAGATTATTAGTATATAGCTACTATCTTAAACTAGTTATAATAATAATAGTATCTTTAGTAGGCTTATTACTATAACTACTATTATTATTTAGAATAAATAAGAGATATTACTTAGCTAAGCCTCTTTCTTTATTATTTACTATATAGTATAGCTTAACTAATATAGATTAAAAAACATAAAGGCTATTAATATTAATAGTAAAGTCTTTACTTTAAGTAGTAAGTAACTTATATAGGCTAGACTAACCTTCTTTTTTATACTAAATATAGACGTTACTACCTAAAGGTAGATTCTTTATTATAAAGGTATCTAGGCTATTATAGGTAGTAAAAGCCTTATTAATTTACTATATTATGTTATATTTATAAAGATTTTTAGTTACCTTATAGATAGTTATTATATATTAAATTATCTTAAGTAAAAAAGTAAAGTTAGTAGTTATATAGGGGTAGGCACTAAATACTAATAAAGTAAGTATAAGGCTATTTAGGCTAGTAGTATTATTAACTACTTTAGTAGCGCTTTAAAGTACTACTTTATAGTTAATAAATAAGTATTTTTTTTAGATTATTTTATATACCTATTAGAGTATAGTGTAGTATCTCTTAACCTTTTTAATACTATAATACGCTTTAATAGGGATAATCTTAACTTTAACACCTATTATATAGGCTTTATATAAAAATTTAGTTAAGATAAAGTTCTACCTTACGTTAGTAATAATCTAATCTAGAGGTCCTTAGTAGATATTAATCTAGTAGTAATAAAGTGCCTCTTATGTAGTTTTTACTAAAATATTATAAAAAAAGCAGGCTATATTAAAGGTAGTAGTAGTATTAATAATATAAAGTATAAGGTTACTGTTAAGGTATATAATATTAATAATAACTTTATAATTAAATAAATAGTTATTATATAAAGTAAATTAAAATTAAGAAGAAGCCTTCTTATAGATTTAGTAATAATAATAGTACTTTATTAAGTGTTTAATTACTTTTATTTTAACCTTATAGCTAGCCTTATAAAGGATCTTATATAGCTAGTAAATTAATAGATAGCTAAACTATTAATAAAGGTAGCGTAGCTTAACGTTAGTTAGGTAATAACTTATAAGGCTTTACTTAAGCAGGCTAAGTAGTATTTATAAGTAGCCTTATTTTTATATAACTAGTACTATAAGTTTACCTTATTAAAGAGTATTTATAAGGTTATTAAATTAAATTAATAGCTAATTTATATTAGCTAAGTAAAGTAAGAAAAGTATATTAGTAGGTATTATATAAAAAGTAATATACTTAAGGGGAGTCTTTACTATAATAGTGCTTTATAAAGTAATAGTAGTACTATTACTAAACCTAATCTTTACTTTACTTATAGCTATAGTATTAATAGTTATAGATAGTTAAATATACTATAGTGTAATAGCTTATAAGTAGCCTATAGTTAAGTAACTTACTACGCCTATATCTAGTAAAATACCTTAAAAAGTAGCTAATAAGTAATAATTTAGTATAAAGGTACTAAGTAACTTAGTAGAGGTACTATTAAGGTTAATTTTTATTAATTAGTAATAAATAGCTTAGTTAGTAAGGTTAGTAGTAAGTGTGTTACTATTTACTTTAGTGCTACTAAAAAACGTAGTTAAGGTGTAAAATATACTATTATCTTATTCTTTATTATTACTAATAATAAAGTAGGCCCTTTAGAGATACTACTAAAGATCCTTATTATTATTACTATCTTTATTTTTTTTTCTATAGATAGGTGCCTTTATAGCTAGTAAGGAAGGTGTTATATATAGTTAGTAAGGTATCTTTAATATAATAGTTACCTTTAAATTACTAGTATACTTTATATCTTTTATTAGTAGTATGCTTTATTAACTAGTAGCTAGGCTTATAGTAAATATAGCACTTTTTAGTATTATAGCTACTATTATTATTATTACTATTATAAAAATTACTACTACTATAGTTATTACTAAACTATTAATAATAGCCTTAGCCTTAATAAGTAATAGTCTACCTAATATAATTATTAGGTAA